GCGTACAGGCGAGTGTGTGCTGAGGACAAAAGAGGCTGAGGATACCGTTAGCCATGCTGAGTTCAGTCTGCCAGTGCCCCGGGGTTGAAGGGGAAGGCTGAGGCTGTGCTAGCACCCCCACCCCTCCACCCTCCGTGTCCTCCAGCAGGCATTATTATTTCATGGGGAAGATGCTCGGATTGAGGAGGGCTGTGTTTGGGGCACTGTAACAGTTGACCTGGTTGGCCTCCATGAAGGGAACTATCGGCTAGAGCAAGGTGAACGCGTGTATCCTGCCTGCATAGCAAAGGAGGAGCAGGGGAGAAACTATCAAACACAGCACAGAGGTTGTCATCAAACCTACATGTAGTGCTGGCAGTACACTTTGGAGCCGAGGAGAGTAATACGACATGTCAATCTGTTGTAAAGACAAGACACTGACTTCGACAAATCTACGGCATTCGTTCTTTCATCAGGCTGGCCCAAACAGCATTTTACAGGCTTTGAATAGTCACTGATATTTCCACTGAGAATGAGTACTAAAATATATGTCCTCAAAATCACCCTTAAAAATGAAGTGTTGCAGTTGCCTGTCTGAGGGAACATACAGGCTTACAATTTAGATGATTTCAGTCCAAACCAGCTGCGCCAGACATGTGTCTTACGTCCGTCAAAATACAACTGCTTCTGACCTGTATATTTGAATTAATCATTTACTAAAAGGTTGTTTATTGTGGCAGCAGCGCCTGCACTCTACTAATGGTGTATGGCGGACACTCTTGTCTCACACAGCGGTTTAAAAACAAAAACAAAAACACACACAACTTGATTTCATCGCAATAAATAGATCTGCAGTATGACTTGTCAAGTTTTAAATGGTTTGATTAGAAAAGGAGAAAAAGAGAAGGCTTGTGATACTGTGTGCAATGTACTACCATCCCATCGCATCCCCTACCCCCAACTGGGCACAATAAAGATAAATAGATAAAATAAAAAAAAGGTTTTTGCTAAGGTTTAATAAATTGTGTGTGTGTGTTTACAGCCCATAAAACACTTCTTTTTGAAACCATAAAACAGCAAAAGTTGTGTAGCAGCTTAAGGATTACTGTTACTATAGCTACACATGGATGTTTTCAATAACTGATGGAATCTTTTAATGATCACGTGTTGAGAAAAAGGCGTTCTGTATGTGGAAGCCTGCTGCACAGCTTTTTAAGTTTAACAAGCATGATAAGGACCAAGAAAAAAACTCTGCCTTATGGTGCTCCAGCAAGTTCTAAAGCCAAGCAACACATCAGGGTTGATTTAGGACATGGACTATCATTACATGTTAATGTAAAATTGTTAAAAGAAAACTGCCAACAAGACAATCACTTTATCATCTTAAAGTCGCGGAGAGCACATTTTTGGACATTCAAATCGTGACAGCTCAAGACAGATGGAAACTATCAGTGACTGACTATACTATCAGCAACTTACGATGCTTTCTGTGATTGGATCAAGCCTAAAAAAGCGCTGATATTCCTCTCTGAAGCGGTTATTTAACAGAGCTGAGTTAAATGTGGACTGGATAGTGTGCAGGATGTTTTATTATTAAAAAATGTATTATCATTATTATTATTATTATTAAAGGGCCTATCATGGACAACTGAATCCTCATCTTTAGTACATAAAACACAAACAAATCTCTCCCTCCCTGGTCTATAAAGCCCATATATGGAGACTAACCTGCAAAAATAGCCCATTTTAAATAAATTATTTTCGTGATGTCACCAAAATCACCGCATTTTGATACATCCAGCTATTCAGCCTACAGAAGTTTAGCCCTGCACCTTTCAGGTGTTTCAGGCTGGACTGTTTTTTTTCCTACAAGGCCCAACACAAGGCACAGTAATAAAATCAGAGTCTATCAATTTTACTGCACTCATTCATTGATCGGCACTTCCCACTACTGAAAAAAATCACAATTCACAAAATATAAGAGAATCACAATGTGAATGAAGGCATTGTGTATGTGGAAGGCTGCTGCATGGCTTTATAAGTTTAACAAGCAAGACAACAGGTAGGAAAAATGAGAACATGGACTAACATTACATGATAAACAAAAAGTTGTTAAAAGAAAACTGACAAAGAGACGAATAATCACTTTTGTGAATCCAAAATCACAGACATCACATTTTTGGACATTCAGATCATCCAACTTGACTGACAATTGGGACAGATAGAAACTATCAGTGACTGGCAATACTATCAGAAATTGACGATACTATTGAGTTAGATATGGGTGGGACTGGACACATTACAGTACTTGGACAAGGTTAAATATACATGCATATTTAAGATGGTCAAACTTGTCATACTTTTATAGTATACCTACCATTTATTGCAAATTTTGCACTGAGCATTTTTCTTATTGCCAGATAATTTTGAGTGCTTAATAATTTCATATAGAATTCAAATGATGTGTGCAATCCTAATTGTTTCTGCTAGGAACAGAGCTTCAATCAGCTTTTAGACCTTAAACTATCCATGTTTTATAAATATGTGGTATATTAAGGCCGTATCATCCGCCACTATGCACTGGATGCAGAATATGCTCAGATAGGTTTAAAACCAACCCTGTATTTCTACAGCAAAGGCCAGTAATAGGATAACGACCATCGCACAGTCAGGCTCGGTATGCGTGTGTGTGTGTGTGTGTATCATGAGTACTGAGTAGCTGTCTGCTTCCCAGACACATCACACTTCTAATTTTCCCAAACATCCTCCTCTGACCTCTTTTCGTTCACTTCTATTGGGCTAGTCTCCGCCGTCTTGGAAGAAAAAAAAACACATGTTCTCACCGGGACCAAAACAATCCCAATCTAATTTACTTTTTGAGGCCAGAATATGTACATGTGTTAATGGGAGAGCGGAATCAAATTAACTATAATTAGTCGAAGCAGAGTAGAGCGGCGAGTGGTGTCGAGACGCGTGGGAAAGACACAGCTCGTTTCCACCCCCCTCCCCTCGTCCCTTAACCGTCGTCTAGCCGTCCTGCTTCCAGTATGTTGACACATGTCGCACACTTCAAAGCTCACACACAGCGATTGCACATGGCATCCAAACAGGCAGACGTGGCAAAAACATTTCTGTCCTGACAAGATTTTCCCCTGCAAAACACATCACGTGTGAATTTCATGAGTGTGATAAAGCTGAGTCGTCTAATCTCTTTAGGAAGATGTTAACCCTTACAGCTATTACTCTTGTATACTATTCAAATGTAATTA